CGTCTAAAGTTATTGTCATTGTTATTGTACTTGTGTGTTGGAAGTGAGTATATTCTAGCAAACTCACTCACAAGTGTTGCTGTGCATTCTTCGCTACTTTTAAGTAACAGTAACATAATCTCATACTCATAGTCATCATGCTTGCGAATAGCGCAGTAAACGTTGTCAATTTGAGTTGGTTCAACGTCGGTGATTTCCTCGAAAGGAATCCATTCCAGTCTTAAGTGTTTATTTTCGCTTTCCGAGGAGGATTCAACCAAGTTGGCAATGGCTGGATTGTTAGCAAATAACGACATAGTTGAATTAAAAATCTTATCTCTCAAGTAAAGTGTCAACCCTTAATTGTGCTACATTGCATGCAAAGCCTCTTAAAATGCATTCCGCATATCCCTCCCAGTTAGGTTATACCGTACGACAAGCTTGCATTTTGTAGTGAGCTGAATAAATAACAATAAACATTTTCCTTGCCCCAAATCAAAATGTCAAATATTTTCCTAATCGTTTTTTTGGAGTCTGATAAAGATGTGCTGTTTCTCGATAATGGTAATATTGATGTATTCAAAAAAAAGCAAGCTCGCTGGTTATGGTTAACTAAATACACACTACTTTCTTATCCTTACAATCTTGCTCACGGTCAGGCAACAAGTTAGTTAATAAAATTAAAGATGCAGAGCAGGGTAAATACAATGACTGTGCTTCAACCATATTGCATTTCTGTATTAACATGTCTTTGCTGATTCAGAAAACCTAGGGGTTGCTGGCAAAATACGAAACTTATCGATACTCCACCCTCATTATTTATGAAAAAAAAAATTTCACAAATTGAACCCTTTACATTACGGGAACGGTTGTTGGAAGCAACGTTGCAAATATTCTTCTCAAAAACATTACCGGAAAGGAAATCTCATTGGAGAGGAATCTACAGGTCATGTACAGCGTTGGAGAAATTAATTTGTATCACAGAAGGAAGCCATATCAAATCGCCATTGGGTTTGCTCAGGATTGTAAGCTTACTGTATGTTGCTAATTCCACACATCCAACAGAATGGTATGCAATGCGAAATTGCTCGCCTGATCAATGGAAAGAAACGAAAAGCTGATGTCACTTTTGGGAAAGAATATGACCATCTTTACAGAATAATCACTACGGCTACGGATTGTATTTTTTTTCTATGCTTCAAAAGAAATTTTCATGTACAAGTGAAAAGCGAATACCACATTAATCTCACCAAGGATATTGTTAGGGTAGAAAATGAAGCCAATTTACGCAAAAATTAAACAGGTGATGGGCGAGAACTGATGTTGAGGAAGTGCCCCCCCCCCAAAGGCTAACATAATTTGAGGACAGCATCTTTGTGTAATTATTAAAAAAATAATATAAAAATTATATCTTGGCATCTTACCTACTACTACTATGATGAAATTATTGTAGTAAAATGGTTTGCCTACTTGGAAATCTTTTGCATCATCATCACTATTACTATGCAATGCCACGAAGATCACAAATGCATGATTTCTGCAGTATGGTTAGTCCAATTAAAAACGAAACTATATCCACGGTGTATGAGGGCTTCAGCGTCTCAGTTCGCCTAAACGCTGATGTTGGATGGTGGAATGGCAACACATCTGGAGAGAGCATATCATAAAAATCTGACGGACACAGCACTTTATGCTTGTACCAGCATCCGCAAGCGATACGAAACGTTCACTTGGACTACCTTCGTGCAGGCACTGATATAATATCTACCTGCAGGTTTGCATAGATCTTTTGGACCATCATTACAGTCAATTTTGATCTATAGTCTGTCATTGAAGGGAGTTATTGATAGGGAGTTGACAGAGTAGAAAAGGTTCATTAATCAATTGCTTTATTATTATTTACTCTAGCACGTTCTGGCAAGATAGAACGAAAACATTCGACCCCCTCCCCTTGCATCTACTGAAAATGCTGTTGATTCAAACAATATATATTTTTTATTAGCTATCAAGCCTCGGTTGCCGGATTCAAGGAGTTCACACAAACCAAAGCTAAAGAGTTGATGTATCTCTTGCGACCGAGGCGCGCGATCCATTCTGGGACGAATATCAAAAGGGTGAAAAAGAAAACAGCCCACGTCGCGATATCTCACTTGTTGCTCTTTCCCTTGGGCCATATGGAGCAATTTTATGCAATGGTGCTGAATACACTGGTGACTATGGAGATGCTACTTTTGACGATATCCTTTGGTTTCACAAGGAGCGTCTAGACATATACGCTGGTCCTACTTTTAAAATATCACCAAGCTCAATTCAACTGATCATGTTTCCCTCTAGGCAAAGAATATGTCTGTATTGTCAGGTTACATAACGCAGAAAATTACTTTCACAAACTCTCGAAACCTTGAGCAGCGCACTTTTCAACGGCCTCTACTGATTTCCGCCGTGAAACGAAAACTCGTATTCGTACAATTCATGAAGCAAAGCTCATGAATTTGGCTCTGATCGCAATCTCGGCTTTATTATAAAGCGAGAACGTATATCTGTACATATGTACGCATTTTGGAGAAATGGATCTATGAGTGAAGAGGTAATAGGCGAAAAGGGAGAAGAGACAATGAATTAAATATATTTATATTTAGTATTGTAAATTGGACATTAACATGTAACCAATTAGGAATTGCTGTCACCATACCTGCAATTCCCAGTTTCGGCAAATCTCCAAGCTCATTATGGTCCAGGTTCATGCTATCGGTTATACATGTAATAAATGCTATCTATCCTTAAGCTTTTGGACTTGGTTACGTTTGCAAAAGTTCAACTGAGCAAAGTGTACAAGTTGGGCTCATGAGAAAGAATCATTGCGACGTCTGATCCAGATGCCGGCCGCCTCGAATTCCACAATTAACATTTGCGTTAAAATGGTTCTTTTTTCTGTATTTAACTCTTCTTATGATGCCAAATGAGTGAATATGTCAACCCTTCTGTGATCCATGATTGGCATTTCTCTTCTAACCTGATGTAATCTATCCAAATCAATATCTGCAAAAGCTAAACTGGGCTTTATAGTCTCTGGACATCTCGCCAGTACAGTCCCCCATGAATCCACAATCTATGAAAAATAAATTCGCAAGCGGTTAAATACCGCTTCATAGTCCCACGGCAAAACCAATTTCTAATCTTACTTACCATAGCATTACCATAGCTTGCTCTTTTATCATTATGCTTTCCAATATGGGCACTATTCGCAATTAGATTAGTGATCGACATAGCAAATTAATCTTGAAAACGTGTAAATTAACTTGCCTTGCAATGACGTATGTCTGGTTTTCTATCGCTCTTGCTCTCAGTAATACTTCTAAACATAACAAAGGGTGTTTGATTAACTGCATACCATCTCCGATACCCCTTTTTGACAATTTGTGTAGTAGTAGTAGTAGTAGTAGTAGTTACCCCAATGTGCCTGTCCAGTCTTTATCGTGAACGCGGATGGATACGTCAGAATGTCGGCTCCTCTCTTACGCAACTCGGTTGATAACTCTGGAAATCGTAAATCATAACATACAGACATCCCTACTTTGCCCAAGGGAGTTGAAATAGGGCTGATTACTTGTTCTCCATAATCAGTGCTGGTGCTTTCCAGAATAACGGGACCGTCCTTAATGTCAACATCGAACAAGTGTAATTTACGATATTTGCCAATTTCGATTCCATCATCGCTGATAATCAAATGAGTGTTGTATATTTTATTGGGAGACAAACTCTATGAGGAAAAACGATACAAAGATTAATATTATATATGAAATATACATACATATCTATCTATCTAATTGTCACCTGTTCGTGCACTCCAATTGATACCCATAATTTCTGATTCCTAGCTTCTTTCTTTATGTCCTCAACAAACGACCTTGAATGAGCCTTTGTGAGTTCGATTGTCTCTTTGGTAGTTGTTGCTATGAAATCAGATGCTTCTGGAAAGAATACCATCTATTCACCGTGTGGTTATTACGTTAAAGTATCATGGACGTATCGAATCGTGTTTCTCGTCATATAAATTGTACCTGAGCACCTTTGACAACGGCATCTCTCATAAGTTTAAAGCATATTTCAATGTTGGCGGCAACATTTGCCGTACCACAATACTGTGCAACTGCAGCGAGTGGCATTGTATGTGTTGAGCAAAGCGAGACAAAAGATATTAAGCGATGGGTAAGATCTGATCTCTTCAATCACATGAGAAGACTTATGTTACACGCATATTCACTCTCGGCATTGTTTTATTGAGCGATCAGTATTAGTCAAAGAGCAAGATTCATTTACTCATGTAAAGTATTGTGCAGGATAAACACACAAAATACTTGTCGTAGAAGCGCTTTATAGTCTCTGATCTCGACGAATACCATAATCGTTACCGAAATACGATATTCATCGAGTCTGAGCATTGCGTTTCTCTTTACTTTGCAGTCGAATGATTTTCGATGATAACGCGTAGACTCTCAGAAATTATCACCTCGGAACACAAATTTAGTATAGCACCTTTGTAAAGGAATGAATTCTCTCCATGTGAATTCAGATCTAGCATTTCTTTTGCTCAATGAATTGCGAGGTTGTTTTATTATCGAGTGTCTAACCGTTATTACCACTCGGCATAATCTAATTGGGCTAGACAAACGAACTTGTTAAACACATGCTTATGACATCACACATTAATTGTAGTTGATCAGTACCTTTAGTTACCCTGTCCATCACCATATTATTGTATGGATCACTGATTATAAACTTGCGTCATTCGTTAATACATTCAAGCTCATCAAGCAGATAATTATTCCCAAGTATTAAATAAATGCCTGCACTTCCACATGTCTTTTTGTTAATCGAACATGTGCTCGGCGTCAAATGTTAACCAGTTTACATTGGGCGACCGTAGTTATTCGTTATAGTTGCCTGTTAGGTGAGACAGAACAATCAATATGGGGATTTCATTACAGAGTAAACTCATACATAATTTATACGTCATCTTTGACTTGTTCGTAATACATACAATATCCGCAAACAATTCCCCTGATGGCAAGCACGTAATAAAACACACATGTTAGCGCAGAACACCCTTTTCTTAACGAGTTTAATAGCATTACCTTTTTCTATCAGAACACAAATTCGGTGTGACGTCCAAAACTGAGCTGTCAATTTTTGATGTGGTTTCACCAGCAAGTTGCGTCGAGTTAACCCAAACCCATTCGACCAAGACAGCCAATAGCAACAATCGCCGAATATTGGATTTGTGTTATGAAGTACGAGAAAGACTTGGAAAATTGCCATCGTTCTCAAACGAAACGTAAAACCCATTATCAAAATCCACGCCCAACACACTCGCAGAGCATGACATTGTTCGCAGGCAAGATTTGTTTCGTAGAAAATAGAAACGGGTTAAATGCGCATGACAACATTGAACAACAACGATCACGAGATTGGGCGTGTTATCGTAGACATAATTTACGTCACATTATGTGTGTCCACACAAGCAGTTGTAAGTTATTACGCCCACTTTAACAAACTCACGTTTGTACGTGTCATTGGCCAATACAATTAATTAAATGCCAATGGGACAAATGAACGATATCGTAATCTCGAACGAATAAATTCGCCGTTAGCGGTACAATCGCCGAGCCTTACAGTTCTAGCTACATACTCGGTGTTCTCGGAGATAAAAAAATGCAATTGCCGTTGTGTATGGCGGGAATAAAATTAGGGGGGAAAGTAAATACAATCATTTAAGTGTAAAGCTTATCAAGTTGAACCCCATAACATTCAGAGCTGTCAGAATAACGATAAAGTTTTTGTGCCGACAAACACAACGAGATCATCTACATCAGAAAACTCTAGTATAAAATATTCATTATTTTAAAAGAGTTTGGTTTGTAAGACAAATAAAAATTTGGCGCCAGAATGATAAGGGAGAATTGGTCACAAATGAAACAGCTTGGATTCCCCCCCCCCCTTCCCCACTTTCTCAGCCAACAATCATTGTAACAACCGTCTAGTGTAAAAATATACAACCTTTGTTTATTGTTTAAAGTTTTTTTTTCCCTTTTTTTTCTTTTTTTTTTTCCTTTTTTTTTCTTTTTTTTTTTCCTTTATTTTTTTCCCCCCTCTTGCAGCTATTCTTAGCCTGACAGCATGCATCGGTTTTCCCGCCCATTTTTTTTTCATTGACATCAACCCCTAAAGTTGCCGCCATTCGTAATTGTTTACCACAACAACGGCAAAAAAAGTGTTTCAAAATACCGGATTTTTATGACAGCAGGCGTCAAAATACAAACAAACATGTACTAACTTGAATTACATATCCGTAACAATCTATGCTTGGGGTATCCAATAATGAATTAGTTATCCGTATGTTTTTATTAATTCTTTCTCTTTTATTCCTCATGCTCACACTTTTTCGCTCATTTTTTCTCGCTCGCAGTTTTTTCTCTACACATTCCACATTTTATAATTCATTTCCCTCCTAAAATCATTCCCAACCTGTTCCTGATGTTCGACATCTCCGTTGTGCATGTTTGTGATTTGTTTGTTAGGGAAACAATTTCATCTCATTCTCGATTGTGGGGAAATACATTGGCATTACTGAAAACGTTGGGAATTTGGGGGGTCAAAGTAGTACAGGCGGGGTGTCAAATGTCACACGTTAAATGTCAGTTGTGTAGTACGGCGGGCAATTTGAGGATGATCGATAGATATGGAAAGGAAGGTGTGGGTTGGGTTGCTATTGCTTCTTGAAAGGTTTGTCGTAAAAAAAAAGGAGACTATTGTAATTAGGGTTGTGTGTAGCTTTAAATATTAAGGAGAAGAGAAAAAAAGAAAAAAGAAAAGTTTTTTTTTTATTTATTTAGATAACATTGCATTTACTTTGATCATTCATGTAACAACCAAACAATTTGACAATCGATTTTGACATTGACAGTTGACACAACACAAAAGTTTTAACATTACTTTCCCCAAATGTGATCAAATAAAGCATATACGGTATACAGTATCTATTGTCTCACACACTTTAATAATGATTACGATGCTGCCTTTTTTTTTTCTTGACAACAACACTCGCACCATCAACATAACACATACAACACATACACACACATATACACATACACACACATACACACATATACACATAATCACATATTATACGCAGACACACATAATCACATATTATACGCAGACACACATAATTACATATTATACGCAGACACACATAATCACATATACACATAGTACACATAATACACATAATACACATAATACACATAATACACATATTCTCCCACTCCACTTTCCCCCCACTCTCTCCCCTGTCCCATGTGCGTCTATTTTTTTTTCTTTTCCCCCCAGAACTTTGTTCACTTTACATAATTTGCTAGCTAAAAATTCGTTTACGTTCAAAAGACCCCCTTGTTTTTCCCTCTCTTTACTCCCATTTGTTCTCACAAGCCTCATTCAGAGTACCATTCATGAGAGATGACAGCGGGGGATCACAAAAACTGGTGTTTGGAACAATGGATTTAGACAATGAGAAAAAATTTAGTAGACGGATGATTACTGCGTATGATATAATTAGTGTGTAATACAAGCTACTGTGTGCATGTAACCGACTTGAAATAATGAAATCTAGAATAGAACATCTCATTTTCCTCCCTCCCCCCTGTTCATTTTCACTCGAGCGGATAACTGTTCTTGTTTGTTCGTCCTACGCATATATCTTCCCACCCATTATGTGTGATATGGTCTGTGGGCTTAGTAATAAGGGAGATGATAGGGAGGTTCTGCAGTGAAAATAGAATGTCTCCGCTGCTGTGTTTCTACTGGATGCAGACAATCTCTTGAACCAGAAGCTGATCAGAGGGGTGAATATGGTTAGTCGTAAAAAAAAATAATAATGGGAAAGAGAGAAGGAAAAAGGGGTTCTGAGATGACGAGAGAACGGTGTGTTGGTAAGGGATTTTGTGAATTGTATAGTGTGTGAACTTGCTGTGTGTGGGAGTGCAAGTTTTTTAAAAGTCGTTAGATGCACAATTGACCAAAGAGGTTCGTATCGACAGAGTACTCGATGTCAAACACGTTTGTACGGTTGATCACTTGTACGATTTCGTACGATGCAATGTTATAGATAACAGATGAAATGGGTTGTACTTGCTCATTCCGCATGAAAGTGATGTATGTACTCTTTGTTACGCTCCAAGTACGGCCACTTGACAGGCAGCCTATCAGCAATAAGCTTGTCCATATTTATTTATCGTATTGCATCGTCATTTTCCACACATTTTTTTTTTCTCAACCTGTCACTTTTTTTTTTTCTGTGGGAATGTGTGTCAAACATATGCTAGTATCAATGTTTCAGAGGATTATGCAGATGATAAAGGTCTTTGATGATAAGAACACTTTCCATCTTTACTCGTACATTTTAACAAGTGATGTTGAAAGTGCATATCAATAATGTATATCGGGTTTAGTGTGTTAGAATGACAGAAACTCTAACTATGATAAAAAAAATGAATCTATTGTCTGGTGCAGCTGATGCATGTTTGATGGAAGGACAAGGCAAACATAGGCGGAAAAACTGAGAGAGGCAGCAAGCAGGAGTAACAATAATTACAAGGTTTGCACGCAGCAAGTAAACATGATGGATGGCGATATCGTATCAATGTCATGGCCAATGCAATGTCGTAGTGACAATAGTAAAACAGTGACAATAGAACAATAGCATGATAATAGCATAAACAGGATTTGGATAGTAAATAACGGAAACCCTTTCAGACAAGCATCACCTTTTTGACAATGACCCAAATAATATTTCCTGTCACATCCGCTTCAATCTGTACGACCGATCAATATGTAATGTGCATGCATATATAAAATATACATAAAATATATGTTATTACAATTACAATTACACTGAATATGTCCATGTTCCGAGCATTCATAATTTATACAATACAGTGGAACACCTTTGATGTATCGTCTAGACCCTGCACAGCATTTAATAAATAAATAAATAATAAGTTTGGCTTAAGAATGAGTATAGGAAATCGACTAGGTTATAATTTTATTTTTATTATATGGAACGTATGCATCAATGATGTGTGGTATAGCCAATTAAATACAGCTTATATAATATAGCATTAATACAATCGCTTTTAATCTATCAATATCGGTTCTAGTCTGCTTTTCTTTGTACCGATATTTATCTATAAATAGTATTCATCTGCAATCACTAGATTGTGTGATTTTTTGACAGGTGTCGACTTGCGTATAATTGCTTCCCACACCCGAACCTCCTTTTGAAACGCAACGAAAGCTCCGAGGACGAAAAGGTTACCGAAAAGTCCTTGTTTCGAATTTCCTGCACATGCAACCTTAATGTTTCCCAACCAGTAAGATTCATTGATTTTTGCATCCCATTAGACGTCATCACGCTGACATATCGCATCTAATCTTAAGCGAAGAAAACTAGGTCTTGTCTTGTGACAATAATTATCGCATTTATAATAAAAGCATTTATTCGGGTGATGTCAATAAAATAATAAACATCGCCTATTTGCATCTGTGATAATCAAGCATTTATTAATATCCTAATAATAGCAATAATAATAACCATCATCATTACCATTACTATTATACTTTACATCACATTACCCAAGATTAGATTTCCACATTATCACCTCTTTCCCCCAAAATAAAAAGAGACGGCACAATTGTCGATAGTCCCTAAATTTGTATATATCGACATATAATGTACATATTATATACATGTCGTATACATATACATACATACAAATGAATAGATGTGTATATTCATCATACATAATCAAGTGTACATGTGTACTGTATATGCGATAATATATACAATAGACGATCTTGTTGGGTGAACAAGAAAGAATACAACAGCTCAATCGATGCAAATGATATGCTTGCGACAATCGTTCTCATTGTTATTGCTCGGTCGTTGTCATACTCGTCCGAAAGCAACCAAGGCCCAACATCGCCACCCGACATACAATACAAGTTAATTCGAATAGGCATGTCATTGTTGAACAATATCAATATTGCGCTAGCAGTCTAATCTCACAATCCTCATTCTACCCTTTTTTTCTCTCTTTATTTTCTCTCTCACCTCACTCGTTCTCACCTCACCTCACTCTCACTCTACTATATCTCTCTCCATCTTTTCTATTACATATATACTTAATATTAATTTTATAGTAATACGCGGGACTGTCAAAAAAGTGTAATGTGACACAAAGCACATGCTTAAGGTAACAAATGACGGCAAACAAAAACACAAAGAAAGAAAAATAAAAGGAGATAACGCCTCTTTATTGAACACAAAATATAAAAAAATAGTTTAATTTATATTGTTGAATTAACCCCATTCTATACAATGACTACATCTGTCAATAAAAAATCCTTGTTATCATCAATTAAAATTATGTACGTCAGTATATTTTATTTCGTATATATATATGCAGCCATCCCTGTCTCGCTTTTCCTCACTTTTTTCATTCTATTCTGTTCAGTGCTTTTCTCTCCTCTTGTACATACAACACAGTGAGAAGCTCTTGTATAATATTATTGCTACTATTACATACAACCTCTCTACAAAGATGATGGCTCAAGCAGTAGACGATTATTCCGTCTTCCTACGGGGAGAGGACTCTTACGACAACAACGACTGCGACTACTCTTCTGATATAGACGACTGGAAATGGGAAGAAGGAATGCGACTGATTAATGAATTTGGCAATTGGACCACCGGAAACACTTCTCTCGACAGCTACATTCAAGAAACTCAACTAATGAATCCGTAAGTTTCCAAATGAGGCGCACTCTATATTATATATCTATTACCATATCCAGTCATGTTATATAATCGAATCATCGTTTATGTCATTATCATTTGCTTATCTCTTGCATCTCATTGGTTGCAGTGATTGGCGTCATCACATGAAATGGATTCCCTTTGAACAATTCTCTGATATCAAATTCGTAAAGAAGGGCGGCTTTAGCACCGTCTATTCTGCTACATGGATAAACAGCAGCAACCGAGTCTGGGATGCTAAAAGAAAAACTTTTGTCGAGAAGCCACTTACCGTAGCTCTCAAATCACTACACAACTCTCAAACACTCTCTCAGGACTTTATCGATGAGGTTGGTATGGGGTAACAAAAAAAAAATTTATAATCACATGACTACTTAGATGACACATCAACATTCTCATTGTCAATCTTTTGCAACAGTTTAAACGCCACGGCAGTCTCAAGCTAGAGGGAAGCGGATTCATTGTCCATTGTCATGGAATCACTCGCAACGAAGACAATGATGAATACATGTTGGTCATGGACTATGCAGAAGACGGCGACATCCGCACATACGCTCAACGTAACATGGCAACATTACGATGGAACGACATCATAGACATTCTATGCAACATTGCAATGGGTCTCACCCATATTCACAAGAGTGGCTCGTTCCACAAAAATCTTCACAGCGGCAACATTCTCAAATTCGCAACAGCCAACATAGCCGACTTTAGTGTATGCGGTCCATCCGACCCGTCTGAACCACGTGGAATATATGGATCGCTACCATTCGTTGCCCCCGAAGTACTCGCTGGAGAAATGTTCTCACAAAAGGCAGACATTTACAGTTTCGCTTTCATCATGTGGGAATTGTCTTCCGGTCGTCCGCCGTTCGCAGATCGTCCGCACGATCATTCTCTTGCCTTGGAGATTTGTCGTGGGTTCAGAGAGGCTATCGTTCCTGGCACTCCATTGTTTTATGAGAAATTGATGGCTCGATGCTGGGACGCTAATCCTGAAAATCGACCTGACGTCGAGGAAATATTAGAGATTCTGCTGGCGCCTTATGATTATCAGCGAATGTTGTTGGACATGGGAGAGTTCACGGCAAGGAATGTTAATGATTGCGACGACATTGGTTCCTTTGAGAACATGTTGGCATCCCCGATAACAAACGCACGATTCCCAGCTGCACCTCCTGAAGTGCATCTCTTTGCAACATATACAAGCAGATTATTGCTTTATCCTAATCTACCAACACCAACAAACAGAAGCTACGATCCGCGACCATCGATAAGCTCGGTCATATCTTGTAAGTAGTATATAAATAATAATTACCTTTCGGGGTTGTCTATCATGAAAATGTCCCTAACAATCAATTCCTTTTTTTTATTTATCTAGCCGAAGAAATAATCGAGGCTATCGATGAGACCGGTTTTGAGAATGATTTTGAAGGTAAGCTTATCTGATTCCGAATCTCTGAATCCAACATATTTGTGCGACCTTTATTCTAATGAAAAATTATGTATTACTTTTTCGATGATTACAGAATATGATACACATCAGCCACCGCCTGAATTATCTGGTAAGTCCCTTGGACACAATTCTTAAACATGCTTAATCGTTATTTTCTTTATTACATCAGTTGCTAACAGGATATAATTTAAACTATTTTAGATACAGACTATGACGACGAAGACGAGGAAGACTCATACGTAGCTCCACCCTCGCCCCCTCCGCTTTTCTTAATGTCACGACGCAAATCAATTGCACCACCTCCACTCATCCAAGCACAATAAGCCATCTGCTGGTCTTCTTTTGGCCAGTAGTAAGTAATACACAAAATACGACTCATGCAGGACAGGATCCGGCTTTATTATATTGTACACATTTAACATATACACTTTTTAATGACATTAGACATAAACACACCCCCTCCCACATTTATTCAAGTACTGTATTTTTTTATATAGACTGATAGAGAAGAAATCAGTATTAAGTATTTCTTAACATTTATGTTTTGACTATGTACAAGACTGTAATTCTATTTTATTTCACACGATATGCCTTTTTTATTTTCTACGTTTTTAGCACTCTGCTATATACAAATCTCTCTCTTACATATATATACACATTATATATACAATCACATCATAATTATAAATAGGCTTATTTTTTCCATTATTCGACTTGTCACAAAGACGAGAAACAGAGAAACAGAGAAAAAAAAAAAGAAAACTTGGAAATAAACAAGGAAAAAAAAAAAGAATACTTTAATAACATATATGCAGTGCTTATCTTGTCGTTGTTTAAAAGTCCATCTGTGGGAATATTTGAAAGGAAGAAAAGGGTACGGGGAAGTGTTGATGGGGAAAGGAATGGGATGGGGACTTGCCCTGAATTGACATGAAACGTGCACAGCATGAAACCTAAAATGCACGAAATGCCTTATATTAAAATTATGTAATCCGTATGAAAATGCCAAAGGAGATGGCCATCGTGAAAACTATTAAACTGGGAAGACAAACGTTATTATGCGAAAGAGCTTTATTCTTTAAAGTTTTGTAATCCTTTCTGTTAATGAAACTTGCGTATCATGTATGTATGTATGTATGTACTTTACAGTATAACTGATAATGTGTTTAACATATTTTAATGTATTTCACGTGACGTCTCAACCACGCACAACCATGCGCATACACGTGTACAAGTAACTTATGTGGCAGGCCATCCATCCGGAACCCTTCATAGACTAATAGACTATGCGACACACATATCCTGTCGATTGACACAGCCCCGACAATGTTCTCTATATGGTTTAATGGGTTCTAAACCAATTAACACACGCACTTCCTACGCCTCTTTCTCTTTTACTTTCCATTGGAAAGACATGTATGCATACATATACATATACACATACACATACACATAGGCATACACATAGACATATACGTACACATACGCATACACAACACGTATTAAACAAGTAATCTGGCAAGTTACGTAAGAGTGAACATGGAAATGGCGCTACGACAGACGAGAACAATATCTTTTGACGTTCTGAATGAATTGTTTCAAACAAGGCTGCAATCAGCCTCATCTTTGCACTGCATGCTTTTACATGTGAGAATCGCACAAGTTCAGTTTAGTGGATATATAATTGTGATGTAATTGAACTTTGTGGGAGTGGGCAACAAGGAAATTGGGGGGTGGGGTAGTCAAGCAGGGTTGGGCTGCTGTTATGGGGTAAAATTAAAATGAGTAAGGGTGTAAGATAAGGGTGGTGTAAGAGTAAGTAAGGGTGTAAGAGTAAGGGTGTAAGAGTAAGGGTAATGACTGATAAATACTAAGGGTAATGACTAATACTAAGGGCAGGCAGGTCATTACTTATTATTATAGTGTGACTAAACTTTAATTACTCGCACAAGTATCACATTGCATGTTCTGTAAAGAGTGCGTTCGCTTACACTCGCTTACATACGCATATCCGAATGCCCGTTTATCTGCATCTTTCTACATCTTTGATAAAAACCCTTGACTATAATAACCATGAATAAACCGTAAAATAAACCGTAAATAAACCGTTACTCCCCACCCCCACCAATTCCCCTAGTCCGAATAAGAAAGTGGGCAAGGGTTCGAGATGATCGGCATTAAAAGGTGTTGCAGATCCGCTTATGATAATAATTCTCGAATGTGTAAAATTAAGGGTTTTTCATAACAATAAAATGTCGCAAGTCGGACAGTTAATTAGTGTGTGATGCTAAGACTATATCTACTTGGAATGCTTACTACAAAAACATGTGACCCAAATTTGGAGAATAGGCATGTTGATATATACAAGTTCTCATAACATTTTTAACTATCGCAAAGGAACTAATTTATATTAACACTAATTAACAGATATCTGTTATATGACACTTTCATCCATATATGTACAAACAAAATTGTGTTAATCTATAAATAACACTTTCAACTTGTTATACCTATTAAAATACCGCGTTGTACCAAAATTTACCAAGTTACTTTACATACCCGTAACACTTTTTGCTATTATCGCTTTCCGCATTCTTTTCATTGAATACCTGCATACATACATGCATTGCTTCCCGTGTTCCTCCATAGAAAACTAGTTTGATACCTGTTGAATGCGTAACACGACCAAGCATTTGTTAACAATTGACAATTATTAATTAATAAAACGGTTATTATTTTTTACTATCATCACTTGGCATCAAAGTTCTTTTGACAGTCACCTGATGGCGCTTTCGCTTGCAGCTGCATAATCACTGCAATCAGCTACTTCGCGTGGAAAATAAAATTGTGCCCAATGTGTGTGGCGTGATGGAAAAAAAAAAGTGAACCATGAAAAGCGAACGAGATCCCATTGTCTTACCCGTTACCCATCGGTTACCCATCTTACGCTCGATTTTTTTTTTTCATCTCTTCTTCCGATTGTTCCAAAAATAAATCAAGCCTGCTTTGCCGTGATTCTTACTAGTTTTATCCTCGTTTTTATTTGTCTTTGTTTATTTTCAACACGTGAAATCATGATGTAGACCCATAAAATTTTCACACTGCATGAATCACAGCACCTCAATACACCGATAACGGTATGTGTTGAAAATGGCTTAGACTCTGTATAAACTGACCTTATGTGCGTGCATATGATATTGTATTCATTGAAAAATTCAGTTGTGTAACTTGGGCGTTTTCAACAATACAACAATAATAGACAACAATCGGTGACATTTCGATGGTATCGGTGTGACAATATGAAATTACGCCAACTTCTCAGTGTGGATCGGATACTTGCCTGATTAGTAAACTACCACATTATACTAGGATGCATAGTCATGCGTTGAGGGAGGACAACCACGAGTTTGGCAAGTAACACAATATCAATGAACAATGGACAGAGAACGGTATCTTCGTCGCTTTGTAACAAAGAAAACTTTGCATATCAAGATAAACCATAATTATACTACGTTTATCACTATCAACATTCTAAATATATCTCACATATGCTTTTTGTCCCATCTCCCATCTCTTTTCTGTAACAAGCACGTGCATAAAGATAAAACTGGCTGAACAAAAATAGCGACAGCTTGCATCAATGAATGTCCACATGATCAATATCGGAACAGCAGTCAGAGAAAGAACCTTGCATGTTCTTTATTTTTTTTTCTCCACGCCTCCCGCTCTCTCTTGATCTCACCATGTCTGTGCCATGAGCAAAAAAAAAAAAAACGACAAGTCATATAACGCCTGTCAAATTAATTAAGTAGATAGATGTTCGATGAACATGCCGTGCGTCATTGAAACGTGCTTTGCTGACAGGGCATGGGACGGGAAGTGTAGTGAGAAAATAGTAATCGCCTTTATTGGGGTTTTTTTTGTTTGACGAAATAATATTTTATATATTGTGTTTGTATATTATTCTCTATGATAGTCATATGACCAACTGAACTCTTCGTATAACGTTGACAACTCACGTATATGAAAAAGAAACCTACATCGCTATGATGACGATAATCGATTAAAATTAACAATAAAAATAATAGTAGCTACGTCATTTTTTCACTTTGCCAAGTCGCCCAACCACTTGCACCTCGCATCACACAATCGACATGGTCAAAAATTAAGTTTTGCGTGGAATTTTATTAAAAACGAAAAGCAAAAACATTTTGAGCAAAAAGACAAAGAGAAATGAAGGAGGAACCCAAGTAAATAAAAAATCATGTATTGTAGATAATGAGGGGGAAAGTATGTACAAATAAAAATCTTTTTGTATGATATATCAATTTTAGAAAAGAATGACATGTTTTGTTGTATACTTTGACTATTATAACAAAAATATATAACAGATACAGCAAATATGCTGAATAAAAAGAGTAAGAGAAAGAAAGAAAGAAAGAAAGAAAGAAAGAAAGAGATATAGTCCTATTGTCCATTATTATTCTCTCTAGCACATCAAAAGGGTGGAGGTAAAATGGGATGGTGGACAAATTGGATAAACAACTTTGGATATAGATGCACTATAAAAGTGTTTGGAGGGTGAATGAAAAAAAAAAACGATGGGTAAGAAAAGGTATTATTACGTAGAAAGTTGTTATTATGTTATATAGTATACCCCTCCGAAACATGGTTGTTTTATATATGCATCCATTTCACAATCAATGTGCCAGTGGATGATAATCAAGGAAAATTAAAAAGTACAGGAATATCTATCAAGACATCAAGTCTCTATATGAAACAAGAAATATGGTATAATAAAAGTATAGTAAAATAAAATAAACCGAACCAAATGATATTGGCAGCGGCAAGGAAAGACAAGATCGAAAGAAATTTTTGAAACAGCAATTTTTAATGGCGAAAAAATCATTCGAATAAAAAAATTCTTTTTTCTAATTTCCCCCGCTCATCCTATGTATACTTGTCCCCTCAAATCGATCAACCAACGAACAACAAACCCAACAACCAGTCTTCTTTCACTCTTTCACTCCCATTCCTCTTCCCACTCCCAATCTACCCTCCTTCACTGAAGAAATTTTCACTTGAAACAAAATAATTTTAAACAAGAAAAAAAAAACGAAATCAATTATAAACAATAAGAAAAATTCTAAGAATCTATCCAAGTTCCATCAACAACAAAGGGGAAGGAAGAACAACAAACCAACAACAACAACAACTCTAAACCAAACCAAACCAAACCAAATCAAATCAAATCAAATCAAATCAAATTAATCGACCAACACAGAGTACAGCATGAAATAAACGACATTTTTTTCTAATACAAAAGATAAACATTTCATTCTCCAAAGAACCTTAATAATACCGATTACTGTACATTCCGCTCCCGTATGTATTCTCTTTATAAGTAAAGGCTTGTGGATTACTGAGCCTCGGCTCTCGATATCTCGACTCTCCATACTTCAACTCTCCATAAGCTCCAGTACTGCTCGAATATGAACGGCTTCCCAAGCTACTCCCCGCTATTCGATCAAACTTGCCCGTTGATGACGAATAAGAATTTGAATATGCAGAGTACGCAGATGCCGGCGAACTACTATTCAATCCAGAAAACCCGCTGGATGTGTATGATATTGGCGAAGAAGTAAGCGAAGAGTAGCTATAATCTGAAACTGTGCTCGGGGAAGTGTACGTAACAGGTGACGATGTATTGTCGATATGCGAAGCTGCAAAGTAATCGATGTCACTACTCGAACTGCCCGTCCGTCGTCTCCGAGATATCGGCGTCTGTATTCCCAAATCTCGCCTTATCTTTTCTTCTCGTTCTCGTTCTTCGGCCATCATCATTTCTACTTCTGTCACATCAACCGTACTAGTCAATGCTGCTCTACCTTCTGCAATCATGTCTGCGAGCTTGCAGTTGAATTTTAAGAATAGGTCATCTTCGTCATCAAATTTAACCGAGCTTTCACGAAGGTCTTGAGAAGATGATTTTCGACGAAGAGGACGGCGAGTCCCACGGCGAATGCGAATTTGTCGACGGCGGGATTGTGGTTGGGGAGTATTGAACTGAACTCTTGATGGAGAAGAGGCATCAACTGTAGATGGTAGGTTTTGAGCCGAGGGAGAAGGCTAAAAAAATGTGCGAAAGAGGAAAGGGTGTGAGCTGAATTTTGACCAAGTCATAATAACGTGATTTATACAACAGGAATCGAGATATGTGATAACATCTCTGTAATAGAATGTTTAGTGACCATGCGCCGATTCAATTTCCAACTACGTCGACAACACCACCAACTAGCTCTCTTACACACATCACCTCCCCAAATAAATCTTGCGCAATCCCAATATCCCTTACAATTCTTTTCACAATCCCGCCACATATATATACACACTTTCTAACACTTTACAAGTTCCGTTCAACTTACCATTCTCCACGAACTATCATATGGCGGCGGAGGTTCTTCATCATCAACATTATTGACAGAAGCCCAGACATTTCTCTTGTTGTCAACGTCCATCATTTCGTTGTCATCAGCTTTAATCTGCATCACATCATGATATTCGCTATACGAGTTACTTCTCTGTTTCTCTGCCGGACCCGTTATAGTTTGATATGCCTCTGCGGCAACGGCCGACGTGTAAGCAGCCAATTCAGTCAGCTTGTATAAAAAACTAGTAGCCATACCAGGCTTTTGTCGCTTGCTGGGCGGTTGGTCGTCGTATGTTGCATGCTCCTGTAGTTGTTCCTGTTGTAGTTGTTCCTGCTGGTGCTGTTGTTGCTGTTGTTGTTGCTGCAGGTGAGCAGAGATTAAGTCTGGTCCAATGTCGAATCGTCGTTTGGACGGTTGATTCGGTGGAGCATGAGGAAAGTCTTGTATTGACGAGGGAGATTGCATCATTGTATATGAGAAGGGTGATGGTGGTAATGGGGGTAGGTGAGTATGGTTATGTTTGAGGAAGACAGTTTGTCGAGTGTTTCTTGTAAGCGACGGGGTGTATAATGTGTATAGTAGTATTTAGTATGATTTTAGTAGTTTGTTTAGTCTTTCCTGTCTGACTGGAGTTGGTTAAGCAAGAGAAGGGAAGTAAAGTTAGTACGAGTGCGGGGGGAAGAAAAGAGAGTTAAGTTGCAGTATTGATTGATACATAGTCGTGCATTAGTATTTACCAACAAGCACGTAACGTTTATTTATCCTCTTCCATACTTACGATATATCCGACAGATGTTTTCTTATCATACAGTCGAGTATTGGATAGTAAAAATATTGCGTGTTAACCGACTAGCTATTCTTCTTTGATTTATCGCCGTATTTGTTATCGTTGTCGTTGACGGTGTACTTGCTCCGTGCGAGACAAAAGTATCCTGTTTTCGTTTGAGTTGTGTCAGTCTCAAAAGGAGTATTTCCAAACGGTAAAATTTGGCTGTTTATTTATTTAAATTAAGAGAGAAAAAAATTCAAAAGGGTAGGGGCAATCATCTGGGTGTGCGACGGTAATTGAAAATTAATTAGACAAATGGGAAAAAGTGATGTTCTCTATTGAATAAAGTAGAGAATGCGGATAAATTATGTACCTTGATGTATTCGTATGTATAAATAATTGGTAATACGTGGGATGTGAATTTGAAAAAATAGTGCATAGGAATGTGATAAAATCAAATAAATACAATGACGAATGTAAACAATATGAAGATAAAAGGATACCCTTGTTATTATTATATACACCATCACTAATCGGTGTCTAGTGTTCTTCTTAATCGGGACACGAGAATTTACGGGGTATGTTGGGTAGCGTAGGGTTACGGTCAGGGTTAATATAGAATTATATAGGGTTGATATATAGATTATATAGGGTTGATATATAGATTATATAGGGTTGATATAGAGTTAGCTAAGGTAAATATAGAGAAATAGCTAGTGTTAATATAGAGTTAGCTAGGGTAAATATAGGGTTGATATAGGTTGTTGATATAGAATCACATAGAGTTATCTAGGGTTAGTCGGCAGGGCATTGTTGGGATTATTTAGGGTTAGTCACCGTACTATTACTATACTACTTACTCTCAAACGCTGTGAAAATCAAAAAAGTGACAACGAAAATCGAAACAGCATTGTCAAAGAGCCCACGATTTCATTAAATGTATATGCCAAAAGCATGTGGTAATTGAATTTGCATTTGTAACCGCTCCCCATCCCATCCCATCCCATCCCATCCCATCCCATTCCCAGCCCCAGCCAAGCGCACATGAAATTGATGGCATTGTCATGGTCCTGCAACTGAGCAACGTCTCATTGCATCTCGCTTTCTTTTTCTTTCAAGCATTTTACACCATGCCCATGTTTGCTTTGTATCTGACATGTGAACAATGAATTTATTAGAAAGCCAAGTATTACTTTACCACATTACAGGTCCATCATACGATACGCTATCCTGTGAAGCAGCCAGCCCTCTCCCCCCGGCTATGTAGCATACTCGATAGTTTTGACACTCTCATTTCGTTTATTCATTTTGCGTTAGTGAGTAAAGTTTCGAGTCTATATGAACCAAACGAGTTTCTCACGAGTGTTTGAACCCCACTGTTGAACATGTTTCTCTCGCAAGTACTGTTGAATGACATGTTTATTATCCCAAGCATACAGCCAGCATACATCTCATCATCCCACGCAGAAAAATGTTTTCATTTCGCTTGCTCTTTCTCTTCAACTATCCTTGAAATGTAGTCTCCACGGTCAAAAAAATTCATCTCTATGCGAAAGTTGTTAAAGTTGGGGGGACCCTCATAACACATCTTTCGAACCGCAGGTGACACACATACGAAAATGTACTGTATCAAACGATGCACAGCAGCGGAAAGATTATCATTGCAGGTCCCATTCCTTCTCCTCATCTGCCAGTTGTATGAAAAAACGCTCGCCCATACGAAGATCAAAAATAGGATCACCACGAGGATGATTCCCTACTGTAGAAGTTTTGAACCTGTCGACTAGCCGGGAATCCCCTCCGCAGCAGCTTAAAGGAGTAGACTGAAAAAGCGGAAGCAATAAATTAATTAAAAAAGAAGTGGCTCGATGTTTGATATTAAGCAATGCAATGACTGCATATCCGCTTTGGCCATCCCATCATAACACTATCTCAACTGGTTAACGTAGATTTTCACATAACCATGTTTCTTTGATGCAAACAATCATGATGGTGGGTGTTAACCCGTATTTTTTACTGTTCATGCACCAATACCCCAATTTGTTATCGATGCACAGAAAATGCATGATGACATCGATCATACCTTTGACGGTGATTATCAATAGGATGGGGCGTACCGTATGGTTAGATTCATTGGACAACATCGGTGTGTATGATGTCATTATCGGTAACACACTCGAAGCCTTTGAGGAAAAAAGACGTCGATGATGACATACGTTATGTCACATGAGTCATTCCATTATCTACAACATTACAGTAAACTGTAATAAACTGTCTGCTAATCCCAATACAGAATAAGCGTTCCCCACACCCTCTTGTTCTATGAAATACGAGGCAAAAGAAATAGGTGGCGTCCAAAATCTTTAACGACAGTTATCACATACGTATGTATTGCGAATCCCCCACCATGGAGATCTCATGCTTTGAATATCTTATTCTAGCTTCCCCACAACATACAACCAAAGCCTTATTTGGTTTTATATGAACCTAAACATTCATAGCATTGAGTTTAATCAGATTTTTTCGTAACCATAAAGAAACTGCCTTGACTGAAGAATGCATCGAGCACAAGCAGCAGCACTTTTTGCATATGAAGCTGATTCCCAACCTCACACTCATGATCAACTTTCCCGTTTTGGTAACGTTCTATTCATGTGTTCACTTTTTGTCACACATGTGCAACAACATACTATTCATAAAACACATTAATGTACTAAATTTCATAAAAATAACACGTAACAAGTTTAGCCTACCTACCATCTATCTCTTCAAATGTCGAACCTACTGCAGACTTGGTTTTGATGAGTTATATAGATCAATTAGCGTATTTTGTTTCTCTTTGATTCAATAGTGTTACTCGAATCATCAAAACACTTGTTCTCGCCAATCCCGTTTTCGTATCAAAGCACAATGCAATTTTTCACAATAAAAACGCGTACTATTTATTGTTAATTCAAGTAGCGTAACCGCCGTAGCCTCTGATTATCACCATAGTTTACTTGAAAGATGATTAAACATTAGCCTATGTCTGTGATTATTACAAATGAATTCCGACTTTTCCTTAGCCATTTTCTATGTAGTCGGTCTTGTTTCCCCCGTGAGTATCTGTTCTGCTTAGACTGCAAGCTCCCGAATGTGAACACCGTTTAGTCAATACTATCGTCTGTGTAATTGGTTAAGTGTCACTTCACCGACCAAACCATACCGATATAGGCTGTCTGTGGATCCCATCCCCGTTTTCTGGAAATTGCAAAAGTCATGTGGTCATCGTCAATTAATTCTCGTATTGGATACGACATACAATTTATAACCAAAGGAAGAACATTCCGAGAGTCTGTATCATAAACCCAAGATTCACGAGATCCACATTAATATAACTGGGACGATAGAAACAAATTTATTTCAAATTTTGCTGAATTTGGTTGTCAAACTTAGAGATTGATATGTTATTATCATGCTCAAGAATGTTATAATATGGACTGCAATATCATGACTGCAAGCAATTATCATGACGGCTAATATCATGACGGCAACATCATGACTGCAAGCAATTATCATGACTGAGACGTATGAAATAATCCATAAAATATATGAAAGACGTTTTCATCACTTGTCACATTACCGTCTGAGCTGAACATTTTGCCCCCCTGAAATTTAGTACATTCGTTATACATAACACTTGCCTATTGCATGTATGGCACAGAGAGAATTTCTGCTTATCAAATCTTACCAGATAATACTGTAAATCGTCTGAGCGAATGTGCACATTCGGCAATTTCGTTGTTGTTAGCTAATGTTATTAATTATGGTTACACATGAAACCATTAATGACACGGGAATTATTTACCCAACCATAACACACACATGCATCCAAATGCAAATCGCAATGTCCGTATCATCGGTCTATATTAGAAATTCATTCGTGGATGAAACGTATGTCCGTTCATCTGGATATTAAATGAACATTTATATTTATTCTCCGCATGGAAGACAATGTCGAAGCATGCTACTGTTTAACAAACAATTGGAACTGAAGCACAAGTAATACGTAAATATATGATTATGAAATCAGTATTAGCAAGGAAAGATTTATCCTTTTTGTATATACTATATTACCGCATATATGCTTGTAAATGAAATGGCAAGGGAAAGATATATATATATACTCACACATATAATCAGACCCGATAATTTGATTAGTTTTGGTTCGACATATTTGATACACGTAGACCAGAACACTAACGCTAATAAAACCAGTTTAATCACATTGTAACCCTTTGTCTAAATTCGTAACAATAAAAAGGTTGCAGACATGGGTTGTTTGAAGACAATTACAAGGCTCGGAATTCTTTGTTATCTCCAATTCTGTGTCAAGTCAAGCTGTACGTTACTATGAAGGAGCATATAATGAAACAAAACAAGACAAAAAAATTATATTATAAAGCCGTTCATTGATTCAAAAATAGAATGCGCAATGATTCGTTCGTTAATTTATCCATGAGGCTTTATTCATCGCATACTGAGAAGCAGTTTATTTGGTCGTTCGGAAAACTTATTTTGGCAAGTATATGTTTGTTATTCTCAGCCACCAAGATATTGGTGTAACATCCATCTTATCCTGCGGTATTATCGCATGGGCATCAAGTCAGTGTATCTTCCTTTGCTTTTTCCTTGGTAGCAAAATTCTTAAATGTATTGATCCGATAGTAGATATTCACAACAGTGTAACTTTCTATCAATAAATAATGCATCCAGAATAAAGGCAAAAGACTCCTCGAGTGTAAAAGAACTTCACCTTTTGGCATGACAATGCATGGACAAAAAAAATTAAACTTTTTGGGGCACTTTGTATGAAACAATTCGGGGTTCAACGTGATCAAAATACCAAATTTAAATACAATATCAAGCTTGTTTCGATAATATATTGTTATGCAGACGACGTGTAAATGTAAAGAAGGAAACACAAACCCCATTTGTTATCGCAAATGGTTTGATACCACATTAAGTAAAACCCTAGTACTAATCACATATTCCACCTTTCATCCGTTACGCTATAGTATGTCCAACAGTGATTAACCAAGAACAAGCTTCATATTCTTATCCGTTCGATAAACGGTTCTGATAGCATTTCATCGAATAATTGTATGCCATGCAGTTTTGAGTAATCAAACAGAGACAGATATAAAACGAAACAAATCTCAATCATGTTCTTGATTAATAACACGTCGTAACTTCACGCATATAATTTCTCTGGTTAGTGATCCAAGGCATTCTGCTTGCTCTTCAGAAAAGTCTTTTCAAAATAATCTCTTCGAGTACAAAATATGAACCAACATCTACAAGAATAGTGAGATTGTTTATGTATTAAGCATTGTGTCTTTTTTTTTATCGTGCAGTAATTTAGCCTATTGCCAAATTAGACGTCACGTTTGTTTAATATAGCGCCCGCCATACGTAGATCAGTTAACATGCAAATGTAGATCATTAAACAACGTGCTAAATCTAGTATTTGCTATTGCGGCTCAATTACAATCATATAATTAATTAAATAACGTCCAATTAATTCGTCTAATTATCACTCGAAACATAAGAAATGTGGATGTCAGTAGAAAATTAAACTTACCTGATTCAACTTGCTACTGTAACTTTAGCATAGATTCTTAATGAACCACGTTACTATGGTAATTTCTTAGCACATAAAATTTATTATTATAATAAGGTTTTTGATTTCATGATTACGGAAACGTCCATGTTTCGCATTAGTCATATCTAATGAGTCGCATCTGCTGAATCCATTAAAGCTATTAATTCCAGTAACCAATATTTTATCAGATTGTTAGAGAACTTGCATCGGAGGCTGTCTTATCATTCTCACTTCCCCAACAAGTCTGTAACAATAAGACCACATCCATATCTTTCAAGTATTGTACGTTCGAGTTTCAATAGACGTAACCCATGATTGGATACTCAATTAATCAACCGCCACACTTATTGCAAATACTAATAGTGATGACTGATACAACTGTTGCTCCGCCAGAATAACAATGGTGGATGAGATAAACTTGCAAGAGTTATTCAATCAGTGGAGACGCAATGGCGTAATAGATGTGAAACTTTGATATGGTTGTATTTATTTAACTTTATGAATTCTATTTAAAATGTAATTGATCTATTGGCCGTTTATGTAACAATACGAAAATATACAATTCATCTCCGATACAAATAAAAAATTTTTTCAACACTTCTTTTCGGTAATCCCCAAGTCTTTGATATTCACTGTCATAATCACCATCATAGTCAACCGCCGCGTTCCTCATAGTCATTAGCCACAAATCTCAATATCGCAACGGCGATGAAATTGGTCTCCGAATCGGACGCTACTATCAACATAACGAGCCGAATGATAGAGGTAACGTTGACGGGCTGATTGGTAACAACCTCACACGGAAAATAAATCAAAGTTGTGACCCTAGGGTACTGACACAGATTTTCGACGCAAGAATAGAAAACTCTAGTGGAATGTCAATTTTTCTGATGAAATTTCGTAATGTGAACCATTACAACGTTAGAGAAATGCGGAATCACTCGATGTATTGTCTTGATTCCCCATACGTCAGCTCTCCATAAGCTCCAGTGCTGCTCGAATATGAACGGCTTCCCAAGCTACTCCCCGCTATTCGATCAAATTTTCCCGGTGAAGATGAATAGGAATTTGAATATGCAGAGTACGCAGATGCCGGCGAACTACTATTCAACCCAGAAAACCCGCTGGATGTGTATGATATTGGCGAAGAAGTAAGCGAAGAATAGTTATAATCTGAAACTGAGTTTGGAGAGCCGTACGTATTATCATAGTGCGCAGCTGAAAAGTAATCTCCGTCACTACTCGAACTGCCTGTCCGTCGTCTCCGAGATATCGGTGCCTGTATTCCCAAATCTCGCCTAATCTTTTCTTCTCGTTCTCGTTCTTCGGCCATCATCATTTCGACTTCTGTCACGTCAACTGTACTAGTCAATGCTGCTTTACCTTCCGCAACCATGTCTGCGAGCTTGCCACTGAATTTTGAAAACAGATCATCTTCGTCGTCAAACTTGGTCGTATTATCACGAAGGTCTTGAGAAGACGACTTTCGTCGAAGAGGACGGCGATTCCCACGACAAATGCGAATTTGTCGACGGCGGGACTGTGGTTGGGGAGTATTGAACTGAACTCTTGACGGAGAAGAGGCATCCATTGTGGACGGTAGATTTTGAGTTGAGGGGGAAGGCTACAAATAGAGAGGTGGAGGGGTGAAACGCGTGAGTCAAAGTACGAACGGTTATGAAATTATGATGACATATGTCATTAATTATTGCAATTGAGTAAGCCGAGGTATGTGATAATATCTTTTCAATTGAATTATAGCCCATGGAAACCATGTTATTTGATTTACATCCTAATTAAATCCATCCTCGCACGCAATTACATCTCTTTCGCAGTCCCTCACAACCTCCCCAACTATTTCCAATTACCATTCTCCAGGAATTATCATATGGCGGCGGAGGTTCTTCTTCATCAACGTTATTAACAGCATCCCAAACATTTCTCTTGTCGACATTCATAATTTCGCTGTCTTCTTCTGCCGCAGCCCTAATCTGCATCACATCACCATAATATTCCGGATATTCGTGATGTGGGCTACCTTGCTGCTTCTCTGGTGGGCCAGTTATCGTTTTATATGCTTCAGAAGCAACGGCAGAAGTGTAAGCAGCCAATTCAGTCAGTTTGTACAGAAAACTTGTAGCAAAGCCAGGTTTTTGTCGATTGTTAGGTGGCTGGTTGTCATGCATCGCTTGTTCCCGCAGTTGTTGCAGATGTTGCTGTTGTTCTTGCTGCTGCTGCTGCTGCTGCTGCTGCTGCTGCTGCTGCTGCTGCTGTTGTTGTTGTTGCAAGTGAGCAGAGATTAAATCTGCTCCAATGTCAAACCGTCGTCTAGACGGTTGATTCGGCGGAGCATGAGGAAAGTCTTGTATAGATGAGGGAGACTGCATCGTTTGTAGACGTTACATGGAGGAGGAGGAAAATTTTTTAAACGGTGGACTATCAATAAAATTGCAGTAACATGACTTTGTTACACAATAAACGTGCTGGTCACACAGATCTTATAATTTATTAAGTCTATGACTATAACAAGTAAGTGATAAATAAATAAATAAATAAAATAAAAGTAATGGAACGTCGAATTCGCTATATTACAACCGGTGATTAAAAATAATAACCTATTCTTACACATATCACCCGGTTTGCTTACAAAAGTGTGCATGCAGCACAAACTCGGATTCCCATAAAATATATTCAAATATGACCACTCCTACTCATCCATCTCTCCATTCTCCTCCCACCTTCCTCTCCAACATTAACACATTCATCCTCTTCTCCTCTTTTTTTAATCTTCTTCCAAAATCCCTTTGCCTCCTGTCCCGAGTTCTCTCTTAACAATGATTTAATGACTCGCGTAAACTTTTTATCATACCTATCCGGAAAATGATGAAACAACCAATTCTTTTTCAACGTAATATCCATGAAATGTTCAGGAGATGATATTTCACACATGACGTCTTTGACGTAGTAAGCGCGATTGCCATCGGTTTGAGTAATGCGCTCCCCTTTATGGAGGTAATATATCGTCCCTGGAATGTAGAGTTTACGTGATGATGATGTCGCCTTTAGATGGGCGTGATATGCATCAACAGAGGAAATGAGAGCTGCGAGTTTTTGTTTCGCTGGAAGCTAAAAGAGGCAGTAAACGTGTGTGAATTACAGTACACGAAACTTACATGCTGGCGAAAAAGAAAACAAACTCTTATACTTGCATTCTTATAAGCCTCATTCTTTAGCTCACTGGCTGCCATCTTCACCAATTCCTTAAAATCCATTAAATTTCCATAACTCAACCTTGGTATGACATCATTTTCGTTCACAAAGCTGTCAATAAACTTTTCCTCTTCTGCCTTCTTAGCCAGATCTAAAGAACAACACGGAGCAGGCGCAAAATTCCAGCCATGGATATCGATTCCCAACTCTAATAAATCTCGACACCTATCGCGAAGAATCATAGTAACAATTGATGCAATCGCGGCGCCTAGAGAGTGACCCATAACTTGGATAGCAGGCGCGTCAAATCGTGAGACCGCTGACCGTATTGCTGGGAGAGAATGATCGACCAGATATTTGGCACTACGAAGAACGCCGCGGTGAACAAATCCAAGGTTCCATGGCTCGTAATGCGCCAGGGCATCGGTTATAAGATCGGTTACGTTCTAAATTAAAAAAAAAAAAGTTCCGCATTACTACACCATGTTGTGTTAATAAACACAACGACCACCGACCAAAAAATGACTAGCCGGCTTACCATTGTCCCTCTGATTGAAATCAATATGTTATTCGTTTCTGGATCTCTGACAATCATGTAACTCGGTTTCGACACTGAACTCTTTCCATACTCCCAACAAATAACATCAGTCTTGTCAAGTTTAAAGAACTCGAGCACATTCTTCTTGTCCGAGTTCATTCTAAACGCATTCAATGGGGCTTTCCCGGATCCGTACCCAAACCAGTTGAACAAGAAAGAACCCTATGGAATTGAGAATAATGGGGTGAGCATGCGGCGGATTAAAATAAAAGTCAACATGTTGCTGCTTTGTAATGACTTACGTAAGATGCCATTGAGTATTTGAGAAACTTTTGCGCATCTTCAAGTTTTTTCATATCGCGCACGGTTTGATGAGTTAATGAACTATGTAAAAAGTAAAGTGAAGTTTTAAATATCGACTTTTCGTCCGCAGCAGCGAATGTTTTAATTATATCCCATGCGCTACCCGCCTTATCCTCTCTATTAATTAACACTCCAAACACTTACCTCTCCTTTTGTGAATAATACTTTTCCAAGAACATGTAAGCCTTCAAAAATTCGAGCTTGGTCAATCTCCAGCCATGGTCAAAAAAGGTATGATATAACACCGTGATCTCCTTAATAGCATCTCGCGTCTCTTGGTTGAGGACAATATCCAATATTCCCAAACTTCCCTTTTTCTTCGGCAAGCGAATCACACTTGCAAATTCATTCTCATCCAGCCTCAATTCGTCAGCCACAGATCTCGATGTCGCGTCAGCGATAGGACTGGTTTCCGAATCTATCAACGTAGACGAGCCTGATGATGTTAACGGATCGGACGTACTTGACTCGAGGCTGGCTGGTGTCGATTCCGCACGGGATGTCGATATCTGGACGTCTTGTGGAAAATGGAATCTGAGCTTTAACCCCATTGAACCGATATAGGTCGTTGGTGCGAGAATGGCAGATTCTAATGGGAAGTCGCTTTTTGATGAATTGCATAATGTCAGAGTATTACAATGTTAGAGATAAATGAGAAGGGAGATAAAGCTATTGATAACTGGCAATGAGAGTTAGCAAGAAACGAAACCCTGGGTAGCGAAGAATTGAACTATTAAAAAGCGCAACCCCTGCCTAATGTGCTCTGGGCGACGAGTGTCTTTGTTTCTCCTAGCTTCTTACCTACCCTTCGTACTCGATCTGTCCACCGGCATCAATCAGATCGCTTAGCCTGACAAACGTTCGACCAATTCTTTTCTTGTTATTCATAAACGAGCTATGTTCATACACATCTACTTTCAACGTGTCAAAAACCAATGAATGATAATCCATTGGAAACGAAAATGTCTTTTGGAAATGCTCATCTAACTTTGCAGCTGGGGATGTGTTATGAGTTACCGAGTGGATATTAAGACGGAGCGAAGTTTTTATTTTGTGGTTGGAACTGACTGGTCGTGGCGGATCAAAGGTGAGGGAAGTTACGCGAACCAACATTTGATCTTGAAAAAGCGAGTTGAATAGATTGGAATATATATAAAGGTAAATTATATGGTGTTAGCACAGACGTAACGGTATATTACGCAATTGAAAGATGAGTAAAAATATCATTACTTGGTAAATCGTCTCCGGAAACCGGGGATTGTAAGCTCCATGAACGCGCTAGCCTGGTGCGACTTACTCCTTGGTCAGCGCCTGTTTAATATATTGTCAACATAGTTTGTCAGCAAAAAGTCGTTTATAACTTAACTCATCAAAAATCCGCCAACTCACGTAGACGCTGTGATCGTAAACTTTTATTTACTACCTTCACTCTGATATTCCTCTGGTTCTTGCACGAGCTTGGTAACATTCATTTCATTGCTATTGGTCACATCGCTGGTCAAAATTACTGGGTTATTATCATTCATCGTTAAAGTTGATGATGACTCATAGTCTTCACCACGATTTTTTGGCCCTATCATATTGCACATAATTATTACAACGTATTTGTATCGATTGCTTTCTGCATTTTAATTGTGCACTTAATCTCACCTAAGTTTGCCGATTTGTTCAAACTCGAGTCTATTTTATCATTTCGTCCATGTTGACAAGTTGATGTTGGTATATTACTGGAAGTGGATTCGATAGAATCCTCTTTTTCGCTTCCCGAGAAAATATCATCATTTTCGGAAAGGCAGTCGGATGTGTGGTCACTGAGATATTGGTTATCTCCGCTGGCGCTTTCTCTGCTAACTTCAGTATAGTTTTGTTCATTAAATTCGAAACTATTAATTTGATCTCTTTCCATAGCTATTTCATGAGTGTGAGATTGTAGTTCTGATACCATTTCTTCAGTTTGGGAGACAAATGACGGTTTTCTCCTTTCATTCCGTGGTTCCTTGCTCTCTTTTGGAGGTGGGAGAAATTTGTTATTGTTATCCATCACTTTATTGTATTTTTAGTAGAAATATCGTAAGAATGTACAGTTTAATACTCACTCATGTGATGTTATGTGTCCGAGCGTTCGGACAGTTCGTGTCACACGCTTGCCTATTATGTGCAATAAGATAGAGAACATATTTTTTAAAATATGATTGCGTCTATAATTCCACGTGCGTTACGTGCTTGGTTATTCGATCCTTCACCTACCAAAGGATATAGTAATAGAGAAAAAAGAAAATCGACCTCACTCTATGCGTTTATGGACATATCTTGTTCATTGCGTTGCAACTAGCCAAGATAAAATGATCAGATTGTTGACGCATCTTTCACATTCTGATTTGCATGCGGGAAACTATACATCTTTTCTCTTGCAGTAAGCGAAATGGCTATTTCCCGTAAACCTGCTACTCTCGTCTCGAGGGTTATCATGACTAGAACTTCTCGTATGCTGTGGTTGGCTATGATTTTTTAATCATCTGACCTTGATGCGTTACAGGAACGTTCTATCCCTACCGAGAACTTTGGTAAGAGTTTAAATCATCATTTCCGTTAGTTCTTTATTTGACTTGACTTCTTCCAAGGAATGTGTTCATCACTACTTTTGTAAATTCAAGATTCCTTTGCCAAAGACATCAATATCATAAGTGCATAGATCAATTTGATAGGATTGGTTGCTACTCTTATTTAATTATTAATGTTTAATTTGGCGAGCGTATTATTCTAAGATCACTGGGACTAATCCGAGTCGATAGAATCTACTCCAAGAATACACGACAACAAGCCGTTACAGTTATGAACGAATAATTATGTATGTTCGTTATTTCTGGTCGTTTAGGTATTTGGGGGAGATTATGTTAGTCAATTAGTCAGAATCAAATGAACGTACATTTACATTAATTCCATCTCTCTATTCATGCTATACCACTACAAGATTCATTCCACTCGTTATTATCAGATTCCACCGTCCAATGACTGCCCTTCTCTTCTAACACGACTTAAATATGTCCGCGACACAACGTTCCATGCCTCCATATATTTTAATACACATCGATCAATGCAGTTCTATAGAACACATAATCAGAGAGCAACGTAAGCTAGCAGTTGCAAATAGCATCAAATCATGAAACAAATTGATTATATTACCATTTCACTGTTCTCCATTTTATGTCCTGGTTTGAGAATACACTTGGCGAAGCATTTTTCATTCATTTTCTATTCATACGATACGGATAAAATGATCAGTATTAACGTCTGTGTACACCTCAACGTATCGGATCAACTGAAGTATATTCCTCTTGTTCATACGTTAATAAGTTCATGAGCTTGAGCCAAGGCCAGCTCAGCTTTGACTTGGTCCATTACTTGTTTTTTCTTTTCATCCCTGCAGACAATAACGATAAGCGTAAACACTAGTTGTTTTTCATAAGATGCTATGCCTTTTGTAACCTTACATGTTTCCTTGGAGTGAATAGTTGTAATCACTTGAGAGAGACATCTTTGAGAATAGATCGAAAAAGGTGATGATAACTTTAGATCAAAGGAAAGAAAGAAAAAGGAAATTTTCGTGCGACCAAGTGATACATGTTACACATATTAATGCAGATCATGGATACTAAAGTTTCGTTTTTTGATATACCCACAGTAACGCCACGTTTCTCAACATTTTTCGGTAACAATAACAATTGGATATTCGAAAGAGCAAAAAAAGTCGATAATACGAGCTTCGATATTTTTTCTGAGGGAAACAGTTCCTTCCGTAGACAGCCAAAATAGTTTCTGAAGCGTCGGTTGTTCCAGACGTTTCTTCCGATGATTTTCCTATAGTGATCTAACCGTATTTTGACACTTCTATTAGTGTAACAGAATTGTGGTTTCTAAATTGCAGTCTTAAATGTAATATTTTTAGGGATCACACATCCGGCCGGAAATACATCAGAAACTGAGAGACCAGTAAAAGTATATTCTAAATATATTAATATAATAACAAGTATTTAGATAAGTATTTATATTATGATGATCAAACAAAAATGTTAGATGAAGCATATGACTGGTAATGAATCAATACTAATGCATCTGCACAATCCAAAAGAGAATATTTATAATTGTTATTTTCTTTGTCAGTAAGAAAAAATGTCATATTACGAAGAGTTGTGGGCATTAATAGATGACTTGATAGATGATTTATATTAATAAAAATAACAAGATAGAGCAGAGGAATTAGAGGTTCTTTAATATTAATGTTACAACAATAATATTAATATGAAAATTATAATTATTTATCCTAAATGCAATATTGGATCAGAGACATTTCCAAACAATAACACAAGTTGGTGAACACAGAATATAACATATAAATAGCAAAATTTGCAACAAGAAATATGCAGTAACAGAAGAAGTAAGCAGTCTGCAAAGTGCATTACTATTGCCATAAGCAGTATCATTATAACAGCAATAAAGAGACATAGTAGTCTAATAATAAAAAAATAGATTCTTGATTCAATTCTCATGGATAAAATTTTCCATCAACTTTAAGCCATCAATTTTGGACGCAAATGGAAATACACAGACATAGACTCTCTATAATACTATTAGACGGCACACAGCTAAATTTTCGGCTGGTTTTAAATACGGGGTCGGCTTCACTGCCGTTGCACGACTAAAAAGTTGGCAAAAGAAAGCTCGGTTCACTTTTTAACAACAAGAAAACGCTTTAGTATTAGAGAGCATTTGTAAATTTTTTTAAGTGTCCGTATAAACCTAAACAATTCCGGGAAACGTGTTCGTTAAGACGTCATCTGATGATATTAACACATGTAAATTACCTTCATTAGGTTATTATTATCGTCACTTCCGCGAGGTTTGTTACTTCAAAAAACTCCAGTACTACAATTTATGTAATTATACAGTAACAGATCGTTACCGTACCAACGTTTTATCTGATGTTAGTATTTTTGAATGTTTAATACGTTTAGGTTATCTTCAAAATTACGAACAGTGTTGTCGAGCATGAGATAATTGATTAAGTATATTTACTGTTAATATTAATATATGAGCGTTTTATGTTCTGAGCCTTATTTTGACTAGTGCTAGGAATTAAATATGCAACTGGTCGGAATTAAGTTCGTTCCAATCAGGTGTTTGTTGTGGTGATATTATAATTAATGGTAGGGCGAGAATGTTCCTAATACGCCGATATTGAACTGTTCTTGGACCTAAGTAACCCTAAATCGCTGCCTTTCACAATATCACTTTAGCTTTACTCAGATTTTTTAGACAACGAATAAAAGATGCTAAGATATTATTATTATGGCAGGCACAAAGATGTCTTTATTATAGCTTTCGAAGGTTTGCTTATGAGAGCGTATTGTCTTGATATAACATTACTCTACTTACAATCGGGTGTTTTGGAGTTGAAAGTGTTGTCTCATTATATGTCTCACATGTAGTAACTGTTTACATTTGGTACAGAGTGCAAGTTTTGCCAAGAGACGTGACTTATGAGTTGTCAGTTATATATATATATAGAGTGTAACCACACCAATATAGTAGTAATATTCCAATTGGGACTTATGTCCACTACGTACAATACACTCAAGTTGATCCCGCCTCCGCTTGTATGTTACTTTTAACAGAATTATTGAGATGTGTTAAAAGCACTGAAACGTTAGTTTGAATTTGATTATTGTGAAATAAAATACTTGAGCAAACGTTTAACAAATTCAGTATCTAATGCTTATTACAGGCAATAAAAGGATGTCAAGGCGTATTAGTATACGACTTGATAGGAAGCGCGTTTTCTATTTCTGCGTATAAATCATGCGGGGGTAATTGCATCAAATGAGGAAAATCATGATCGGCATGTTGATGATCTCAATAACATGACTGATATAGTAATGTTAATAATGATGTTGAGCCAACCATATTAGAACTTTTGATCAGCCGACGTACAATCGCTTTATCTTTTATTGTCATAGTCCTGTAATCGGACCATTTTTGGATAGATAACGGGCGTTGTGTGTGCGTTTCATATTAGTAAACATTCGACTGACAAATCTTATTTAAAAGACCCTTTCGAACACAACACAGTAGAACAACTTTTGCGAGGATGGTGAATACGTTTTTGTTAATTTGCACATGTATCATACTACAGTTAAATACTGTCTTATCTCAGGGTAGTGGTGCTGGGGTTGGAGTGGGCTCGACAACGCCAGGAACTGGTCAAGGAACGACGGCAGCATACGGTGGAACCGGAGCGAACACCGATAAACTTGGGACGAAAGCTATTATCTTTATCTGTATTGCTGTCGCCTGTATAATTCTACCTTGCATATGTTGCTGTATACTTCATTGTACAGCAAATCCCAAACGTCGCCAACAAAAGCCTGACTCAGAGGCTGGCGAGAAGATCACAAATGTATACGAAACTGTACCAACTGAACCAGCACCTATCCATTTACCCCAGAAAAAATACGGATTCTCCATTTTTAACAAGAAACGTCCTTCGTAACATTGGCGAATCGAGAACTACCGAATGGAATTCAACAACTCGTATCCCGATGGATAAAATAGAGAACAATAAGCAAGAGAAAATAGTTTGTATTTGGCAATCAGTTTAGAGTTTCAAAGTTATGCATGTGATGAGGGACTGTTTATTTGTAAATTTGACGAAGGGGTCAATTGTAATTAACCTGTTATTATGTGAATAAATCAATATGAACTGTAGTCTATTTTAACAAGTCGCATTCTCGTCACATTATGTCATAATGGCGTCACTGTTTCGAAGCATGTGGCTAGTGTAATTTACACTTGTGCTTGCTAAATAACACGCCTAACACGCGTAATTTAAATTTAACAAGACTTGTCAACTTTCTCTTTTATTGATTTATTATTTAAACAATTCGCTCGATGCGACAATCTTGTCTATTTATTATTATCATGATTAATGTCTGGTAGTATTTTCACATCTACCACGTCTCTGCTTCAGTCCACTACGTTCCATGGCACTTGTGTCATTTGCAATCGACCTTATCTATCCTACTGCTGGTGTTCCCACTGCCGGCTCTTACAATACGATACTTACTATCCCAGTCGCCTCTCGAACAACACATTACTTGACACATTTATAAACTACTGTCAATTAAACCTTTCTAGACCACACAACTGGCTTGAATGGATTCCGTATGAAGAGTTGGAGGAGGTTGAATTTGTTGCTAAAGGGGGATTTGGGATAGTTGAAAAGGCCATATGGAGAGAAGGAAAGGTGGAAAAGTGGGAGAAAAGAGGGTTATGGAATGTTGTCGAGAGCAAGACGCCAATGGGTGGTTCAAGGCAAAAGCGAATTTATAAAAGTGACATTACTGAGAAACCAAGTAGGAAAGGGCCAATGATGGTTGCTGTAAAAACTTTTGATAAAATGACGAGATTTAATTTGGAATTTTTGAGAGAGGTGAGTAGGAACATACGAAGAAATGAATTCTAGAACGAGAACTGTTGGGTGAATGTGATGCAATGGTGAATGCTCGTATCAATGATCTCTTTATCCAACGTACGTATTCATGCTCTTCTCATCTCTATATCCCAGATTGAATCACACCTGCGCCTCTCAACATACTCCTCTCGGATACTTCACGTCCTCGGTATAACTTTAAGTCCGTCCAATCATTTTTCCATCATACTTGACTATGCACCACACGGCAATCTTCGTGACTATCTTCGTCGAGGCTATCTCACCTGGCATAAACGAGTACGAATACTACACAGGATAGCCGCTGGATTACATGAGATACATACGGCTAATTTGATTCATAAAGACTTGCATTCCGGAAACATATTGGTTGGAGAAGAGGGTAATGTTGTTATTGCAGACTTGGGATTATGTGACAAGGTCGTTGACAGCGAATACGAGAAGATCAGACATGGGATGGCAAAGGAGGGTAAGAACGTAGACAGACATAAAGAAGCAGGGGGGCATAAAATCTTTGGTGTCCTTCCCTATGTGGCTCCAGAAGTACTCCGAGGTCACAAGTATGAACAATATTCTGATATATATTCATTTGGAATCCTAACATGGGAAGTTTCTACCCAGCAGCGGCCTTACTATAATCGCACTCATGATCACATGCTTGCAGTAGATATTTGCTACGGCATGAGGCCTGATATTCCGTCTTATGTTCCCAAAAGTGTAAGGATGATAATTAACAGGTGTTGGGATACTGATGTAGAAAAAAGACCGACTGCGGGAGACATTAGGTGGCTTTTGTGGCAATTATCCAAGACAAATAATGGTGAAAGTGAAGGGAAGGAATCGTTTGAAGATGAGAAAGGAAAAATGGCGGTTTGGAATATAGGTGATGAAGAATGGCGAAGTATAAGTAATGAATTTGACTTTGACGATGAACGTACTGTTGTCGATGAATCAGAGTATGAACGTTTGGATGATATAGAGGATGACGTCAAGACGGTCTACACGAGTAAGCAGATAATTGCTGTAAGAGATCTTGGAGATTATGAAAATTATTATAAAACATTGGAAATTAGTGAAGGTTAGTTGGAAGTTGATGTATGGTTGGGGTAATGAGCGCGGAATAATGCTAATACTTTGATGGTTTACTGGAAGACCAAAGACTTGATTCTAGGCAAATGGATTTGAGCATCTCTACTGGTAGGTGTATCGAATATAAACGTGATGTACATATACGTAAAAATTTGTATGCTAATTTAAGTTTTATGCCATTAATTCAAAAGCGGTCGACGAAATCGATACCGGCAATCAAGAAGATTAACAGATTAATTAAAACGAACGTCGACAGCTCGCCCTTTTGTTCAGCCTTAAATCATGCGTGGGGCATGAAAGGACGCTTTATTTAAATATTTATCTATAGATCCCTCGTTATCTACTGGAATCATGTGACTCATATTCAATGGACGTAGAAATCCCAGCCGTTGGTATATATAACTGTACGAAATATTTATCGGTCAAGACATGGAAAATAAATTAATCCACTTTTTATAGCACAATAAAACTGACCTATGTCGATTTCATCTTGTAATGCGTTTCCGAGCATTGCTGTAGCCTGGAAGCTGCCTGCTCGGGTGTCAAATCACGCTGTGGCTCACCAAGCATTTCAAATCTGTTAAGAAATCGGCGTTTGCACATGTATAAGCATATTTGTTTATTACAACTCCAACTTTTGCCTTTTCAAATATTACATACCCAACCAAAAACTTCTTCACGGTAGGATTTCTCAACAAAGGAGGATAAAAATGTATATGGAGATGTGAGTCCCACACATGTTCCTCACCATCAACAGGAGCCTGATGTATCCCCATCGAATACGGAAAAGAAGATTCGAATACATTATCATATTTACGCGTTATCTTCCCGATTATGTCTGCTAACGCAATTTTCTCTTCTTGAGTCAAGTCTACCAGCGAGGTTATGTGTCGTTTGGAAATTATCATAGTCTCGTACGGCCAAACGGCCCAGAATGGTACTAGACACACAAAAGACGCATTCTCACACACAATCCTCTCCAGTTTCTTTTCCAATTCCATTCGCGTATACTCACACAGCAGACATTTGTTGCATTTGTTATAGTACCTCTTCATACTATCCAACTCCTTAGCTGGCTCTTCTGGGATAACTGAGGTGCACCAGATTTGACCGTGAGGATGCGGATTAGAACAACCCATCATCGAACCTTTGTTCTCAAAGATTTGAATGTATTTGACAAAAGGGAGCGATTGGGCCGTGAGGGTTTCGGCAATCCAGGTCGTAATTATAGAAAGTATGCAAGTGGTGGATAGTTCTGCAACCGTCACATTATGTAGTGGTGAATAGCATATTACTTGACAAACACCTTGAACTCGGTGGGCAAGGAAAAGTGAAGAAGCTGTAAGATAATCGAGAGGCAGGTGAGTGGAAACTTTACGAGAAAACAATAATATAGATAACGTTTGAGCACATGTTCAAAGATCTCAATATGTCATTCCTGACACCGCAAATATGTCCCCCCCCCCCCCTCCCCCAAATATTATCTCCAACTCACCCACATCAATTTCTCTTTCCCTCAGAAAGTAATCCCACCTTCATCTGCCTCATCCTTCGTCTTTTCATCCGCTTGCTTCATTCTTCCGATATCGTTCTCAATCTTGACGGCCGCAAAATCATTTTCAAATAAAAATGTTTCCTTGTACATTGGATTCTTTTCGCCTTGGGCTCGTGTGTTCCCGGGACACAAGTAGCATTTTGGATCATACTCTGGGAGGTTAATAGCTGGTGACACTTCGAGCTGTCCTTGCCAGGGACGTTTGGTACGGTGTGGTGAACATAATACCCAGGAATTCGTCAGAGGATTAAAACGTCTATGAGGATGTGATGTCAAATCCAAAGGAAGAGACATTTTTTGATCGGCATTGTGGAGCGGGTAGAATATAAATTCTAGTTTGTGTAACGTTGGTGTACAACAGGAGAAACAGTTAATATAAAGGGAAATCGAATTAAACTTTCCGATATTAAATGTTCTGACCACAAATCGAAAACAAACATCTATGCACAACGGTGCTGTTTTTATAATAAAATATTATCATATACTACGGATGATCATTAGACAAACACTAATTTTTGCGCATTCTGCATGCAGGGGAACAATAGGTACATCGTGAAAGGTGGTGTCTTACAATGGGTGGAGGCTTATAAGGCAAAAATGCCCAGGGGGTATTTATAAGTTCCGTTATATGTTATGATAAGAGTTTATTTCTAATGATTTGAACATTGTCTACATGAGCGCCTCGTTGAACAGTCCGATTGACAATTACATGCTTTTGATTCTTCACTATTAACTAGCACCAGACGTCTCGCCCACTTCAGTTAGTGAGACCAACTCATGAAAGTCTGTTAGTGTTAACTCAAGGCCATATATTTAACGTAGTAACCCGAGTCTATAAATTATCTTTTACAATTCTAACACCTTGCATGGCAAAAACTTTCTACCAAGCCCCTGACGGGCAGAGAAGATTACTATTGTGCAAGGTAATGGAAGTTTTACATAGTATAGGCTGTGGCTGTGGTCTGGTTATACTAGATACTCATTATCAGCGGCTGATTTAGAAGTGGTTAAAGCAGTGTATGATGGACTGGATGGCATCCCAGAAACAGCTATCTCGTTAACAGTGCTAATAGGAGACAAAGCATAGACGTAGACGAAGACGTGGATTAGGATGTCGTCCATGTAGAGGGCTGATATTCATGCAAACAACAATTGTATTAATTGAATGTTTAATGCTGCATCTCATGTTATTTGTTATGGTTTATTATTTATTAAAGACGGATAAACAGCTACTATTTCTTAATGCTTCCATGGTTAGAATAACTACTTATTAAAGAAGCATCATCACTAGTGGCAACCCAGTATGTGACAATCAACCCGATTTTTTTAGTACTGTTGTTTTTTTCCATAAAAAAGTGCAGTAGAATATGTGATAAGTATATTAATATATTTGCCTTGTGTACAAACAAATGATATCTTAATCTGTCCAACTGATGTGCATAAATTAACATATCAAACAGCCCACTAACTGACCTCAACAAATTCCATTCTGACTTGTGATTTCACTTATTCAATAATCACCAATTATAATTTAAATTTACAGTCGCGCCTTTTTATTATCATTATTATTATTATTATTATTATTATTATTATTATTATTATTATTATTATTATTATTATTATTATTATTATTATTA